TATATATATATATATATATATATATATATATATATATATATATATATATATATTCTGCTAGAAACATTATTTCAAAATGCATATGTTTATTTCTATAATGATGTTATCTGCTGTGTACTTATGAACAAATGTTTTTATTTTATCTGGAACAAAACTGTCAAACCACCACTGATACAGCCAATTCAATGACTGATAAGGTGTGGGTGTGAGTTCCTCATGACAGTACACCAGTAGTTCTAATTATAAAGTTTACAACAGACCCATCACTGCTAACTGAAAGACTTTTTAAGGTGTCACACAGAAACAGTCATTTCAATGCAATTCAAAACAAGTCATTTCAAAGCAATGAAAACTGGATAGAGTTCAATAACTTCTGTTTATACTCATTTCTGCAAAGGGAGAATACCTTTTTTTGTATTTTAGCATCCTCAATAGGCTTTTAAAAAACTTGTGAAATAATTACTTTACTTCAGAACTGCTTCATGCCAACAATAACCTGACTTCTGTTATGATATAAGAACTTATTCCTCTTACCTTTATATTGTTCCTTTTATAGTGAATGGAAAGACCTTCTTTCCTACTGGATAGGCTATGATTGTTTCTGACGTAAACACAAAGTTAATTTTGTCTGCTATTGAAAAATTTATAAATAACACATGATGTTCTGTAACCCATAGTGGGTTGAGACTAAAATTACATCCCTGGACTGGTATGTTGAACACTTGGCGAACCCAGAAGCCACTTCCCGTAAACTATGACTGATTATATACTGTAATACCATAAAAACATCCTCATGTGGGACCAATCAGCACCCACAATAAACTGTAAAACCAGTAACCCCAGCTGTTTAGGCCTACACCCAAGTGGTCAACGAAAAGACATTTTTGTGTGCTCATAAAAACCTGTGCAACATAAAGTGAATTAATGTAAAAGAAACTGCATCACTGCAACATGCCTATTTCTTTAGAGATTTTTTTAATAGTATGCAGAAAATGTTAGTGCTCCCTTAAGTATAACTTGCCACTGAAATAACTGTCTTGTGATATCGCTGCAACAGCCGGGAAAGCTATAAACTAGCTATAATAAACGTCAACTTGATAACAGATGCCAAATTTTTGTTGCTTTTCTGCTTGACAGGTAATATCGTAGATGTCTATATCTATATAATAATATAATATAATTGCCTAGTCACCATGGATACGACAAAGCAATGGGTTGTGGAAAGAGAAGGCTTGACGATTTAAGCAAAGTCTTGAGGAAGTTGTCTTAACAGCACCCTGTCTTTTTATTAGATTATATAAAATTGCTGCTATTTTCACAAAAACCTGATATTCTATATTGTTCAGCATACAGAATAAATCATGTATGCAGCTGTTTAATAAGCACTGAATATGAAGTATTCTCTAAAACTTTTTATACATGGCTTGAGCTGCAATGCACCTGACAATGTAGTGTTTTCTGAGCTAATGTGCTTCATTGTCGATATTAAACAGTCTAACCTCATTTAAAAAACAAACAAACATTCAACTCTCCTGTCAAAATATGATATAGTGGAAGACTGAAATGTCTTAAAATGTGTTGCAAAACGTCTTCTTGTGACTAGCAGTGGGAAACTCATTCTAGTATGACATATTAGGTAAATGCTGCTGTTTGTCACAATGTTTTCAACTCAGTTCTAGCTTTTTAGTTGTTAAGTATGTATTGTGTAGGCCTATGCATTAACTCCAATTGAGATCTGTACTGTTTCCGTACTTCTCTATAAAAATGTATTATATCATCAGTGTAGCTGTTTTTGTTAGTAGATGGCTGTGTAGCTAAATACTTTTGAAGTTTAGATTTACTGTAGTCTTCTTCAAATTAGGAGCGGTTTATAACTTTGGACTAACAATTCAGACTATCATTGCTTAAAGTATTTGACTGTATTACTTATAACAGAAGTGGTACCAGTGCCCGTCTGGTGGTCCCAGAGTATTTTTTATTTACTGTGACAGTATAAAATCATTGCTAGTTTGGATTATGATTATGATTCTGACTGTGTATCTAAACCCAAGAAAGATTTATCTTCAAATGATGAATTGTAATGGAATGGGAGTTAATTGTGAGTATAGGGAAATAAGTGCCTTTTCATCCTCTAATCTTCCACTCAGTGCCACCGGAGTGAATGAACGCCTGTGTCCGCTGCTCCACAGCGGAAGTCCCCCCTGCAGACAAGCTGTCTCTCTGTGTGTTGCTTTGGCTGATGGTTGGCAGAAATGGGATTAACAGTGTTTTCATACAATGGTGCCTCTCATATGACATCATGCTGACATTTTCGTCTGCACTGAATACCTTTACAGACAAAGGCAGCAGCAATCTAAACTGATCAAACAGAAAATGTCCTTTATCTGATTGTCCATTTCCTTCATTAACTCACCATGCCTGAAAAGAGAAACCATCATCCCATCATGATTCATGCTTTTACAAATATGCTAATCCACAAATCTTATGGCAAAAAAACAAAACAAAAAAAAATGTGTGGATGTCTCCGACAGCATGTCCACTGACCACCCATATTCTGTTAAATGACTGGCTAAAAAACACTTTCTCGGTCTGGCAAACTGTAATCATATTGGCTGACTTTATGCAGCTTTCAGGAACAATAGAACAGGATTTTTTAAATTCCGTCTGGAAATCAGGCAATGTTTGCAAGATACAATAACTGGATTTGCCAGTTAATAGCAATATATATTAATGTTAAATAATTCATTTTTAATTTTGGTCTGACATTTTCAGCTTTTATGCTAGCTAGTTATACGCTAATGTGTGTGTGTGTGTGTACATATTTGTTTAGTTTGAATGCTGTAACTGCAATTTGTAATAATGTGCTTGTACAGTTCGCAAAAAATTGCCAATGTATTGCTGCCTTCACATGTTGAATTACCAAAATATAGATTGCCAACTTGGAAATGGCCTAACCCCCTAAATTCGTTGACTTATCCTCTCCAAAAATTGGCAGAGAAGAGGGCAGTTTCAATAGTGAATTGTTTGTATAATAAAAATACATAGCAGTTTCGGTCATATACAAAGTTCTGGCATGAAACTCAATATGACATAATGACATCATTATCACATCTGACAGCTGATTGGTTTTCTCTTGTATCGGTAGCCAATGAGCTCGCTGCTCAACATTCAAATACTTGGCTAGTGTTTGCTGTAGCAGTAGCAGCGCACTTCAGAAACCCTCCACCTTCCCCAGCTCCACCTGTATAAATCTGCTATGGGGTGATCAAGTATGCTATATGGGGGTTAATCATATATGTTATATGTGCAGCAGCAATATTTCTTACTTGCTCACAGCAGCATGTTGTGGATGTATTGGCAGTAGCAAGTCACGGTACTTGCTCTGTCACAGCAGCAGCATAGCAGATCTATTCCGCCAACACCAAATACATTAACATTGTCATGTACATTGCCATGCCAATCCCTCCAAGAGTTGTCATGACAGAAAACATTTATGTGCACAATATTTTTTTTGTCTAATCTATTCTGTTTGACCACAAAAATTAAGTAGATTGTCATCAAGTCTGACATTGTCTCTTCAATGGGAGCGTAGAGGTGCGATTTGAAACGTGAGCGCGAGATGTCGCTGTGGGACACGTCGTCATCACTGCAGCAAGGTGCTCGGATGGGGATGGTCCAGCAGGGAAGAGGAGGAGAGAGAGGGAGAAAGCAGGTGCTGCTGTTGCTGCTGCTGTGTCCGTGGCTACCCACCGCAGTTTTCCGGTCTCCTTCTATCCTCACGGTTTTCCTTGGATACCTAGCGGATGCTATCCTTTCCTCGACACGCCAGCATCTCTTCTGCTTTCAATGCCAGTCGTTGGGAATGATTTCCGTGTGTCGCTCGCTGTGAATTGTCGGCATTAATAGGGGAGGGGAAGCGAGAAGAGCGTTGTTCTTCTGGACATTATTCGGTAAGCGCAATGTCATTCCAGTTGCATTTCCAACTGTCACATTCCCCACCTACAACCACGATATCTGCCAAGAAAACGCTCGAAACAGTTGCGAAACCCCCGGTACGCGTATTAACAGCGCACGTTATGTGTTTGTTAGCATGTGGATGTGGCTGGTTTTGTGTTGAGTTTTTTTTCTTTATCGCGTTTAATGCACGTATTCAGACGGCTGTGAGCGCGGGCTGGGAACTGAAAATGGAATCCATTAGAGCATCATTCTCCAACCAAGACGGATGGGAGGGGGAGCGCGAGCACCGAAAACCTATTACTTCCCTATTGACCTAAATTTCAATGATGTATTTATAAGATTACACTAGTCCACGGACATGACCGCTGCTTCTTTGTCTAGTTTGACAGCATGTTCCTCGCATTTCGTTATGAAATCCAAACTGTCAACGGCTTTGCTTGTAAAGCACCGTTTTCATTTGTGTCCATTCATTTTGAATTCTTGATTTACTGGTACGTTTAGCCTAATTTTTTTTTACCATTACGACTGAAAATGAGCATATTTGACCGTCTAACATAGAAAAATCCTTTATAAGACATTGTTTAAATAGATGTTGAGTATGAACGATGAATAAAGCCTATTAGTTTAGGTGTATTAATGTGGAAATGGGAGGGTTGTATGTGGCTAGACTGACCGCCTCTCTCTGCACTTGCTTAGGTGAGGCTGTCTTGAAAAAGAATAAACAATAATTCAGCTGGTATAGTAACTATCAGGCCCTCATGTCATATATGTTTATTAATTTATTGGCTATTTGAATAATATGCTATCTTTTCCCACACGTGGCACATTCATGTATATGTTATCCATAGTATGCTGGTGCTCACTTATGCATAAGCAGCTCATTAACAAGATAATTATCACAGTTAACACTTTTATTTTCTTACATTTTTTTTGATAAATGTATGGTTAAAAAAACAGGCCACTGTGGTTGCAAGAATTTTACTGTAAAAATATTGTAGTCTAAGGGTTGCAAAATTTACGGGATGGCATTTTGGTGACTGTATATTTTACAGTTCCTAATTGTGTCTAAAAATGTGATCTAAAAATGTGATATTTCATGCAGAGAATTCTGGGAATCCCCCTTTACCTATAAATTAGAAGGCTGGTGATTTATTTTACACATAAGAAGCAGAATTTTAACAATCATTTACACTTAAAGTATACTTATTGCTTTGTTAAATAGGCTACAATATACATTGTATTTTTTCTCTTAATAATAATTCAGTTTTTTATTTATACAAATATGTGTATATATATACATATATATATATATAGAGAGAGAGAGTAATATATTATAGTATAATTACATTAAAATAGAACATTATTTTTTATCATAATATATTTACCATATATAAGGTTTCTTACAGTTAACCAATTAGCAGAACATTTTACAGTGTAGGTATATTAGCAGTTATTCTTTTTTTTGCAGCAACAAGGAGAGATGAAGTGTTGCTGCAAAGGTTTGATTTACTGATACATTAATGCACAAAAGTACTTTTCCACTGAAAAAAATCAAAAGAGATATAATGCAACAGAGAGAGAGAGGGGGAGATGGAGAGAGAGAATATTGATCGTTCAGGGGATCGGACATTCTCAGGTTGATCATAAATTATACATTGCATATGATTTTTTTTCTTTTTTTTGTGCAAAAAGGTTTCAGCAGACCTGCCCCTGGTATTCAACATTTTAATGTGCTGATGCACCCACACCAAGAGCATGCTCTCAGAGAGCAACAGTGCATGACTGTGAAATATTGTATGCATACTGGTATTAACCTGCTAGCTACTGTATATGGCTGCATATGATTTAGAATGGAGGAGCTGTGTATGCATTTTTTAATGGGTCATGTTCACTTAAAGACCTCATTGAGGTATCTCACAGAATAACAGGATGAGCGGCTCTTCTATTATTTGCAATATACAATCAAAATTAGTGCAAAATGCATTCAAAACACCCATAAACATTTATAAAATTTTTAGCTAAATGTTAAATGTTCAAATATTCAATACAGATAGAAAACAGTTATGACCTGACTTTCTCAATAGATCTCCAAATTCAGAATAATGGACAGGCAATCAATAGCTTAAACTTGGTGTGAAGACATTAAAATGTGCAAAAGCAGAGTGCTGCTATTATTATTAATTATTAAAATGGTGCAGCACATGGAGCACATTAGTACTTATAATAGGCGTTTTACTAACAATTAGTTTTTTCTTGTCATTATCCCAAAGCAATTCCTGTTAGTTTTTATCATTTTTCTGTTTGGTCATTGTTAGCCTGTAGAGGTAGTCTTTATTCAGAGGTAGTCTTAATTTCATACTATATATATGATCTAACAGGTTAACCGCCGTTTCTTTTAGATTGATCTTGTTTTATAAATGCAGGTTTTGTTTTATTTGCCATAAATATTTAGTTTTACATTTTTGATAATTTTGTTTTGTTTTGTTATAAGGTAACAAAGGAACTATATCATGCTCATATAGTGTTCAGTATTCTGCTCAGGAGAAAGTAATAGACTT